CATAACAGATTACACGACCTAGTAATAAATGCTAAAAATAGTATTAACACTTGCCTAAAAGAAACCTTCATCACAAATAAGACTTAATCATTAACTGACCGTTTCGGAAAACAATGATACTGTAAATCATAAGCACACGCGCTAAATGAAAAACAAAACTAACAGTTACATTAAAAATGAATCAGTTAGAGTAGAAAACAAATTTTAAAATAATTAAATCACAAAAGTAACAATATAACATAAAAAGGATTCTGCATACTTTCCCAGCACAATCAGCATTGCGCATATCTGAAATATGACATTATTACTTACTTGGAAAAGCGAAGAAAAAAATATATTACATAACGGACTCTAGAGTAATGCTACCTTTTAAGTGCAAATAACATTAAAATCCCAGTATTACCTTGAAAGAATTTTCGATTCTGATCTCGCAATTAATACACGGATTGTATCTTGGTGCATGGTTAGAAACGCAAAAGTAAAGTAGAGGCGGGAAAGTTATACTAACAGTCGTAGTGTCTTGTTATGAACACCGGAAACCTCATCAGGACTGCAATCACATTACATATCAGCCCTGATATGATGATGTCAGTGTTGGCAACGAAATGCATGAATTTTAGTAAAACGTTTCCATCTCTAATTTACGCTTGCATTTCTAATCAAGTATCAAGAGAAAAATCTCCGTATACAGAAACCTTTCCAAATGTGTAAGTGATTGGTTAGCGGCAATCAATATTTTTACCGAGCGACGGCGAATTTATTGCTGTCACGGAAATGAGTTGTTCAAGCGGTTCACGCTCGCAACTTTATAGTCAAGTAGGAACCGAGAAATCAATGACTCCAACAGTTAACACCGTGTTGCAGGTTGTAACCTTGCTCCGTGTATACAGAAAGTAAGTTAAATAAGGTCTGCCGTACGGCCCGTTGGTACAAACTTGATATATTTGAGGACCCGAGAGCATGCCTCCCGGGGAATGGGACCCTTGATTCGGCCCCAGTTGTCGCTTAGGGTAAGCAGGGAGGTTATTTCGGATGAACAGGTGTTGTCAGATACAATACTGGTCTGTCGCGTAAAATGTCAAACAGGCGACAGATGTGTCCAGTGATAGCGACAAAAACGTTTTCTATGACTGTTTGCACTCTGTTGTTAATGCTTTGTCACTTTATGATACTGTAACTGTAGCAGGCTATCTAAACGCGAAAATGGACGTCCAGTACAGCATATGAGAAGACGTACTCAGCCGTCACGTATTCATACTGACAGCATGAATGAT